TTTATTTTGTTTCTGTTTTTTTCTTTTTTTTTTTTACCATTCATTGTAATTGAGTATTTTAATCACTTTGAGACACTACCTTAAACCATGCTTGTAATATTGATTTGAAAAATGAAAATGAGCTTGCCCAATACCTTGTCCTTTACTTCCATCCATAAAAGCAGTGTATATTTAGCTGGACACAGAGAATGTACAGCACGTGGGAAAGGATGTGGTCTGCAAGTTTTCAAGGGACAGCAGATGTTGGCATGTGTTTTGGAAAGAATTTAGTTGCTTAAAGATACAGAGGTAGCTTCTGGTAGGCTCATGAGGCATTTAGGTGTATCCAGATTTTAGCTTCCATAGAGTAGAAATCCTTGTGGAGCAGACCTGTAGCCTGTATAAACATTGTTCTGCCATCTGAGTTGCCTAAAGATGATGGAAGCGCACTACCTGCTGCAGAGAAGCAGTCTGTCAGTTTGCTAAATATACTTGGAACAGATTGATCAAAAACACTAAATGCAATATGTCTACTACAAGCATCACTTAATTCTCTGAATAAAAGATGCTGTCTTTGCACACTTTTTCTTAAATCACACCCCCACCCCAGCGCTCCTTGGCATAACTCAGGAAAAATACTTGCAGTGTGGCTTTGTTAAAAGTTTGGGGTGTTTTTTGGTTTTATGTTTTATATCTTAAGAACATGGTTGTTCATGCAGTGAGCTAAAGCCTACCTCTCAATGGGCTTCCTTTGATTCTTGCACATACCTTAGAAATAATGCATAGACATCCAGAGGTCCATACAGCACGCATCAAAAATCACTGACTTGGCAAATACAAGATGCTGAGTGACCTTTAATAGTAAGGTGTAATCATACAGACTTTGAATTAACATGCTGTTCACATTCATGCAGTTACAGCTCAGACAGCATCAGCCTTTGCATAATAAAAAGCATTTAATTCTGTATAACAGCTGACTGCTTCCTAACAGCTTCAACCAAACAACAAAACAAACATTTTCTTTACGGGGAGAAAAAACTCAAGTGCAAGTGTACAACAAGGCAACCAGACTGGAAACAAATTTTACCTGCAACTGCTTGACAGTAGTGCTAAGGCATCCTTTTTTTTTTCTTTTTTTTTTGGTCACTGTTCCCATGCTTTTTTCTAAGCAGCAACTCTTTTGCTTTATTCTTGAATTGAGCCTCTCTTTAGACACTGAACTTTTGTGAAGTCTGCCTTTGAGCAGGGAGAGCAGCTCTGATAGTATCTGCACCCTTTCAGTTTTGCTCTCTCCAGCCTGATTGCTTACTGCGAGCCTGCTCCCCGCAAACACATCCCGAGGTCACTTCAGCCCAGGAGAATGTATGAGGTTGCGGATGGATGCCTAGGAAGTGTTTATCTTGGAGATTCATGAGAAGGATGCGATTCCTACGTATTGTTGTGGATTTGTGTCACTTGAGCTTGTTCACCCTCCTTGTCAGGTCCCTTAGTGTTTTAGTTTCTGTGGCATTGCTTTGCAAGGAGGTTGGTGGTTTTGACTACAAACTGTATGAGGAACTATCTCCTGTTTGGTGTGATGCTGACTCCTAATACCTCCTTTTGTTGTACTCTGGGTGTTGCATTAAAAATGGTGGTGAATTACCGATTGCTCTTTGTCTTTTTCAGGCCCTTTATGACTGCAGGCACCTCTGCTACATGTCTCTCAGTTGCCTCCTTCCTTGTAGCTGAAAAGTCTTAGATGAGTTTGTTATCCCTCTCTAGAATCCAGACTTCTCTGCTGGACAATGGCTATAGGCTGTGTTCTCACACAAGCCCTTTCTTTCCTCCCCCACCTTCTGGCTCTATACACATCTCCCTGCAACTTCTGATGGTTAGGAATTAGTTTAAAACCCAGGCTGAGATCTCTTCCAAAACTTCAGCTAGCATTAAGTTTTGGCAGGTCCAGCTGAGGTTTAGCCATGCAAAAATCCTGTTCTTTCGAGTCTTAATCTATTTTGCTAATGCTTCAATTCCAGAATTGCAAGCATGTATAGTGGTGGTGGGGAAGTGTGAGGAAAACACAAATGTGGTGCATGAGGTCACATGCAATTAAAAACTACAAACCTCCGCTAGCAGTCTTTTTTTTTTTTGAAGTCCCACAAAAAAAGCACCCACAGTGTCTCTGTGCTGTCAGTGCACTAGGTTTCACCAGCCAGCAAGTTTATTTTAATGCCAGCTTTCTGAATTTCATCCTGTTACTTAGGAAAGTGATTTAAGACAAGCTTAACAGAAATAGTCTTTTCAGTGCAATTACTATGACCTGTCAGAAGCAGTGAGGCTTGCTACAGAATGATACACAGGAATGATAATGCTGCTTAAAAAAGGGTTGGCCACTTTTGGGGGGTTGTCCATGTGTGACAGGAGAGGCAGAGCTCTCTATGCACAATTCCATAAAAACTTGACCATGGCACTGTAGCTTGACTCATAGGGTACTTTTGTTCAGCTGGGAACTTGCTGGAGAAGGTTTTAAATCTTCTAGCCATCATTCCTTCCCCCCCCCTTTTTTTTTTTTTTTGATGCTAACTCCATTACCAGTAACTGTATTTCTGTCAGTCTCTGGGGAGACTTTGGGGTGCAAAAGAGAAGATGAAGGTACAAGTTTACACTCCTCCTGAGAGCATAAACTCACTATATTGAGGTATAATACAGGCTGCCGAGAGGCATTTGGTTTTTTTGCCACTAGAGATGTTGATGAAGCAATGAGAATGGAACAAGCACAGCCTAGGATTAGAGATGCTGCGGGTGCGGCTGTGAAGTTCTCTGTAGTAGACTGTGCTTTTCAGGCATCCTGCAAGGCTTTTTTTCTGCTTCCTTGAGTAGTGTCAACAGCTCTGTTGCAGCCATGCAGCATCTCCCCGCTAGCCTCAGTGAAACCTCCAGGAAGCACTGTGCTGCCAGTGCTGTTGCCTGCTGGCAGGGAGCTGACATCCAGCAGTAGTGTGGCCAAGGGGGAAGGCACTCAGCTCTGGAAAAAGCAGCTGTGCACATGCAAAATGTGTAAAACTGGAGACCCACACCCTAACTGGCCAGTCCCTCCACATTTTCCAATAAGCCTAGAAGAATTCCAGTAATGTTTCTTTCTGGGGACAGAGTGGCTGGGTTTTATTAAGCAAGCTTGCAGGGGTCCCCCTGAGGACGCTTTGACCTCTCTGTCCCAGCTGACAGCCCTCTGTGAAAGGTTGTTAGACCACTTCCTACTGATGTTTTCCTTCAGTGTGAGCGCACTCCTGCTGTCCAGAATTTTGGCTAGCTCTCGCTCCCTGAAGACTCGTGCTTGAGCACCCATCCCGTTCTGCTGTTCCTCAAGCATGGGTCGCCTGCAAGAATTAAGTCTATTGTGATAGCACCTGTCCTCTAAGGGAGCCTGAGAAACTCCAAACTGACATTTGCCATTTAATTATCTGCTCCTTTGAAAAACTCCTCCTTATTAGACTTTTTCAAAGAAAACATATGATCTTAAGCGTGAATACTTCAGGAGGCATGGGTTCAAACTGGCTCCTTGTGCTTAGACTGACCTGTTCCTTGTCACAGCAGCCATGGACAATGTCATCCCCTTCCACTGAGATGGAGCCTAGTTCTCCTGTCAAGCTCAGCTGCAAATGGTGGTGAGAGAACAAGACTTTGATACTCTTCATTTAATGCTCTCTGACATGTAGCTATGGGGAAAAAAAAAAAGGCTCCAAGAAGAAAACAAGTCTGTCCCAAAAAAGGCCCCAACCAGAACCTCAGTGAAATTCAAAAGAGGATGCTTCAGTGCTTTTCTTCCATGGAGAAAGGAGAAGCATTTTCTTTGGGCTTTTATGACTCACTATGCTTATCTAAAAACCACTGGGATTTTTGGGGCGGCATTTTGAGGGGAGCTCATGACTGAAGCTGAAATGAGAGAGAAACTGTGCTTCAAGAGAGGGGGCCTGCCTAAAGGCACCTCTCCGGGGTGAACTGTGGGAACAGTTTCTCCTTGCAGATGTTGCCCCACAGCCCCAGTTCACACATCCAGACAGCAGAGCGGAGCAGAGGCAGCTGGGCTGACATATCTCTCCTTGGCAGCTCCCACTGGAGAAGCAGGAACCCTGGGGTCTTAGCATCCTGCTGCTGTTCAGTTCAGTGCTGAGACATGGATTCAGCAACTTCACTTCTTGTGCTAGCCTGAAATCACCATGAGCATCCTGAACAATCCCTGCTGCCTCAGCAAGGAACAGAAAGCCAGCAAGGTGGGACACCTGTGATGACCATGCCAGTGCCTTCTGCAGGGTCAGCAGAAACTGGTCCGGTGTGTTGGCAGGAGGTCTGAGGGCTGCCAAGGCCAAACTAATGCAGTCTCATAAATGTTATCTAAAATTCACTGAGAGGCAAATGCAGCTGCCCCAACTCCCAACCAGGAACTGCGATGGAGAGAAGTAGACTTGATCAAACATGTTCAAAAGGCAGAAGGCACTGCAAGAGTGATGCATAAATGGGCAGGAGCTTGATACCTCTCTGCCCAGACCACAATCAGACTGAAAAATAGTGGGTATGTGGCTCATGAGAAATGTTGTATGTACAGCTGGGCTGATTTAAGGGGATTGATGCTCTGAGTGTCACCTTCTCCAGGAGTGACAAAGACCAGATGCGTCAAAGGTGGTGGTTAAAGCCCTCTGAGGGAAGCAATTATGAAATGAGATGACCTGGATGCAGATTTCTTTGCCCTTGAGCTGAGAGAGAAGGCTTAAGCAGGAGTTTTATATCCCTTTCAATCTTGCTTGTATTTAATCTTTGCTAATGCAGTTTGGAAAGCACCATGAATGTTTGTCCAGGCCTTTTCTGGGATCCTGGTTTCAGGGCATGCTGACCTCTGCAAGGCTTGGGTGAGTGGTGGGTTGAAAGAAGAAAAGGAGAGTACACTCTTGATTTGAACACTGGTAAATCAGTGGTCCTAAAATCAAGCTCTGAACTCAGTGTCTTCGTTCTTTCCCTCTCTTGTGTTCTTTTTTTAATATTTCTTGTTTGGATGAAATATGATAAACTTTTTCCTTAAGCCTGGATCTGGAGTTTCTTTACACAGTTCCTTTTAGTGCTCTGACAGCCTAAATAGATGTTAAGTTCAGCTGTTCCCATGCACAAGCCAGTATCTGTAATTCTCATCAGTGGTGCTGAGCACTTCTGAAAATCAAGTAATTCCTTTTAGATGCCAAGACAAAGGTCTTGCAGCCTCTCTTTACGCACCTAGTTCTGATAAATGCTGCCCTGTACATGGAAACCCCATTAATCTAACAATTTATTTCTGCCTGTTATTGGGCAATGCAGAGGGTGCTGTGAACCAGACTCTTCTCCGTTGCTTTACGATGAGGAGCAGGCAAATACAGACCCTTGGAACATGTGTTTGCTGGCAGGGTTGTTCACTGCACCAGATGTCTGTGAAGTCTCAAAGAGCAAGGCTGAGGTATGGAAATACTGTGTCCCAGAGGTGTATAGATCAGAAATTCCTGACTGCTCAGGAACTGGACTCTTCTGTTCATTTTATTTTCCATTTCATTCATCCGTGACTGGGATTTGGCACCAGCTAGTTTTTAGCCGTCCCATCCCTTCACATCCATTTCTGGGTAGGTTGAATTTTTGTCTGGCTCTGTAAGCTACTCCTGTCCAAGCTGTTGCAGACAAGAGCCTTCTCCTGTGTGAGCTCTGGGTCCAGCTATTCCTTTTCTAGCCCTTCATGCCTCCCTTCCAGTGAATGAATGCAGCCCTGTAAAAGCAGGAGAGACATGGAGGCTTTTTTCAAGCTCATTTTGTCTTGTTCATGGAAGTCATCTTTGTGCTAGAAAACCCTTCATCTGTTTCATCACATTTTTCCCAAAGGATTTGGTACCCTAGTGTTAGCACGTCCATCAAAGTACTCAGAGCTCTAGTGATGAGTAGTTGGACCAGTGAATAAATAAGTATAATAAATCTGTCCAAGACCCCTGTGTAAGATCTGCTGCCTATTTCAGACAGAGTAGTGTTGGACTAAATCCTGCAGAACTGGTGCAGTGCAGAAAGGCAGGAGTAGAAATGGAGTAAAAGGCCAGGAAAACCTGGAGCAAAACTGTTCAAGGGCATGGGGCAAGATAGCTATTTGTCAATATGCTCGTGGAAGAAAATGTAGTTGTTGGAGAGGTGGAGGAATGTATGGATTCCATCCATTGCTGATTAAAGAGCCTTGACCTGTGAATTACGTGTCTGTCCCCTGTACTTTGAATTTATGTTTGTAGATGACGCTTCTCCTAAGGTATTTGATAGAAATGCATAAAAGTTATTGTTGTCCTGGGGGTCAGAATGTTTCACCTGACTTCTTTTTTTAAGAATATTTTTGTAAGCTAAGGTCTTTAATATGAACGATGCAATGACTTGCTATGCTGCAACAGTTGAGTGCCTCAAACACAGAGCGTGAATATAAAGTTTACTGAAGAATTTGTGGAGTTAATGATTTATTTCATCTGTCACTTCAAACAGAAGAATTACAGGCTCCCTCTTGCCCAGCTGGGAAGACACTTAATGCCGACTGCAGATAGTTTTTGCACCACAGCCTATTGCTGGTGTGTGCTTTATCTTGGGGATTTGATTTGTCCCCACTTGTTCAGAAAGGTATTTTGATCTTAGTCCTGCAGCCTTTATCTCCTCTGAGAAACTGGACCTTTTCTCTGTCAAACTGCTCCTTACAAGGAGGGAGCAGGGTGAAGGTGCTGGTGGCACCAGACCTGGGTGGGCAGGGGTTGCTCAATTCATCTGTCCATCCATCCCCACCCAGGACTAGCTGGCTTCACCACTCTGTGCCTCCTCCCTGCCTCCTGGCCAGATAAGCAGGTTTGACTTGTGTGGTATTGTTATAAAACCAGGTTGGGCTATTGTCCTGAACTAGACAGCAGCGGTCAGGCGTGGGCTGCCCAACGGAGACCCTTAGATGGTACTCGCCACACATTTGCATACCTTATCCCTTTTTCCCATTTTTGATCATCCTTGCTGTAGCCCTTTTTCCTTCCTCCCTTTCTCTGCGCCCCAGCCTCTCTTCAAAGAAACAGCCTGCCCCATTTATAGTTTTCTCATGGGTCCCAGTTTTGTGACATAAATATTCAAATTTGCTATTTCTGACACTACTCCCTTGACATTTTTAACACTAACTGGTATTACTGATGTAGTTGGCCAGGTTGCTGCTGCCCTTGCAGTGGGTAAGCCGGCTAAAGATATAAGTGGTTGGGTGCTCTGCTTAATGCTGAAATGCTTGGGTTCAAAGACAGAGAGGCAAGCTCTTCAAAAGCAATCTGAGTTGGCGCATGTCTGCTCTGGATGATCTTGGTGGTGACAGAGTTAAATGAATACTTTGAAAATCCTTCCTGACAGCGCACCTGGAAGGATTTCACGTTCCTGCTGCTGTTTTTCCACCAAAAGGTAGATAAGCTTTGTTTATTTTGACTCTACAGGCAGAAGCACTTGTGTGGGATAATGATGTATCGGCTCATGCCCAGAATGTTGCCAAGGCCAAATATGAATTTTTATTTGGCTTGGAAGAAGAGAAGCCTTCAGAAAGGGGTAAGTGCTATTTATAACTATTGTATGCAAAAAACCCCCCGAAAACTCTTAATCCATTCAGGAAAGTTTTGCAGAAGCTTCTCTCTTAATGACCCCACAAGGGCTTGCTCACTATGCTAACGCTGCTCTTTGCCAGACTACAGTGCAAGTACCAGACCAAAGGATCCTGCTGGTTTGGCCTCAGAAAATGACAGTGGTTCCCTGTGTTATACACCCACCTTTCTGTTTGGCTCACCTGGGCCACCTTGATGTGACAGCAGGGACTCGTGTGCTGGAGACACACTGGTGGAGGGAATCCCTTCACTTCTGTGCAGCGGAGTCGTTTCAGCCACGAGTTCTGCAATAGCACATGCTGAAACATGGCCATCTCTGCCTGGAGGTCCTTCCAGGAATGCCCTTCGTGGTCTGCACGCTGCTCTTCCTACAGCTAGAGGTAGGTAAGATTTTAATTTAGATACTTGAGGTGGTACCTGAACTGCTCTGTCCTCTGTAGTTAGTAATTCAGGAAATCCAGGTGCAATATCTAATGTTATGCCTAAGGATTGGTCTTGTTCCTGTGCAGGGCATTTTCTACCTTTTCAGAGCCCAAGCTTAGAAGAAAGTAAATGTAGTTATTGTAACGATTTCTCTTGCCTCATCATAATTATCAACAATCCCTGCCCTCTTTGCAAAAGCATTTCCTCAGGCTGTTCTCTTTGTACCTTGATCCTTTCTAATTGCAAACTTTCTGGAATGTCACTTTTAATTAAAGAAGACTCCCTTCTTGCCAGAGAAGGGCAGCACTTTGTTCAGAAACAAACTGTGTAGGCTCCTCCATTTCAGTAAGAAAAGGGAAAAAGAAAAAGGCAAAAAAAAGGTAAAAAAAAAAAAAGCAGAACTGAAGTCTAGAAAGTGAGTAAACAATTTCTTCCTGGATTTTATAAAGTTTAGTCTCCCACTTGGGAAATCCTAATCACAAAGTAAAAAAACCCAAAACTGTAAAGGGAAAAAAACCTCAACAAACCCCAAACCACCAAAATTTTAAATTTTAAAAGCTTTTCCAAATTGCCACAAAGTGTGTATCGGATCATTACACGAATCAGGATGACCTCATTTCTTGCTTGGAGAGACACAGTGTGAGAGCACTGTCAGCAGGCATTGGTACATATCCGGGGATCAGTATTAAATAAAGTATGCTGTGTCTAATAAGTCCACATGAATCTGTGGTTATTACCAGCCAAAGCAATTATCACATGTGATGGGTATTCCGGGCTGAGTGCTGAGCCCTAAAGTAAAGGGTGGCAAAGTGTAAGCCAGATAAACAGATGTTTCTGGTTCTTCTCATGTTCCTTTATTAATGACAAACTACCATTAGGAGCTAACAATTATAATGCAAAATGGGAGTGGCTTCAAGGGAGGGTTTCCAAATATTTAACAGTGGTTAACGTGTAACATTTTTCAATTGTACCCGAAAACTGGGCGACATTGTGCCTACCCAGACTGGCCTCATGCTGTCTCAGGCACATTCATCATCCTTCTCCTCCAAGGTGTTTTACCACAGTGGATAAACCAGAGTGGGAGTGCCCCTTCTACTTTTTTCTTCAAGTGAGCAGGCTTTAACTGCTTACTAGCTGGAGATGAACGAGGAAGGGGTAACTGAGGGCACTGCAGTACAAACCCAGAGCCCTGTGCACCAAATGCTGGCTTTTTTTGATTTGATATATGTCAAATATGTCATGACATATGTTTCTGGGGGAAGCAGCTATGCCTGAAAGTCTCTCTGCTCTTCTCTGTGTTAGATGGGAAGGGAAAAAAAACACAACCAAAAATCCAAACAAACCTGCTACTTTCTGAAGTTGCCTTTAAAAGAAAGAAGACAGGCTTTTTAGGGGTCAAAGTATAAAGTATTTTAAGCAAATGAGTGACAGGGCCAGGGCCAGGAGAAGTGTAGGTGTTTAAACTTGATCAAGAGAACAACTTGTCACTGTGGGCAGTAATGCTGAACTTTAATTTATCTAACCCAAAGCAGTTCACCCGTGCCATGACTGGCCTCAGAAACAGAACATAACATGTAAGCTGCTGAATTACTTAATTACTACTGCCTTCTGGTTTATCCTTTCCCTTTCTGCCACAGCCATATTACTGAAGCTCTGCTGGATGCTGTTGAGGGAATACATTTTTTAATTGAGTACTAAAACACTTGAATCAGACAAGCCAAAGAAGGAAGAATACTTCTGTCTACCTGGGTGGGAGATGGCATACTTTGTTAGTAAGCTCCTGTGCTGATTTTTACCTTCCAGGTTGAAGCTTGTGGTCATTTTCATAGGTGAGAGGAGGGAAAATAAAAAGTTAGATGCCTTTAGAAGAGGTTTTTCGTCAATGATATTCAAGTGCTAATAAAGCTGTTGCATAAAAAAATTTTCTCATAATTTCTTTCCTTTGCTGTCCTCAGTCTCCTTTTGTCTGGGGTACTTGTGATTGCTGATGCCCTCTTGCTCTTGCCTTTACTTTGTGATGCCTCTTGTCTGGCTCCTCTCCTCTCGTGTCTGTTGCCCATCCTCCTGCCCTGGATGCCTTACTCGGAGCAGGAGGAGGTCCAAGGCCCTGGGACCCTCATTTTGGGAGGGCTCGGGGCCACACATCTCCCTGCAGACCCCTCTCCTGGGGCTGCTGCCTTCCAATGGGAGCAGGCAGGATGCACCACGTGCAGCCACGTGCCCCTGCACAGCCTGGCCACCTTCCCTGGCAAAACCCCAGCCTTCTGCCTTCCAGCTAAAGAAAATGTTTTTTAGAAACTGAATTTGGCTGGGTCGGACAAGACGTCTTCTCAGACTCGTGGACATAAAGGGTGCTTGTTGTATATGGAAACATACTCTGCTCTGGAAATGCCACAGAAACAGTGATGTCTATTGAACAGACTTATCTTTAGGCTTGGGCGTGTTACAGTCCTGATTTTTATGACTTTGCAGTTAATATGTTTAAATACCAAAAAGAAAAAAAAAACCCTGGCAGCATGGCTTAGTCCTAAAACGTGCTTTCATGGGGAAAACAGTGGGGGATGCTACAAAATAATTCCTTAAGTAAACATGAAGGCCAAATACCCCATAATTCCTGTTATATGAGAAAATAAATCCAGGACTGTTGTTAGGAAGAAAATAGCTTCTTAAGATTAATAAACATTCTTTTCTCTGATGCTTCTGGGAGGAGAAAGCTTTCATCCCTCCTGTGTAACAGAGGGTGTAATCTCGTCCTTCACAAAAAAGCCCTGTACAAATAGTGCCTGTGTTGCTATGCAAATCTGGTGTTTCCCAACAGCTGCTGGAAGAAGCTTGGTTTTGAATTCCTGGTGCAACAAATAGCTTTTTGGAAAGCCTGTCACTTGCTGTTTTGTGTTCAGTGAGGTGTCATGAGGCAACTGAGCTCATTTAACAGCTTGCTTCTGCCAAAAGAGATGGTCCCAGACACACACTGCCACGGATTGTTTCATGCTAGTTCTTGTGCTCATCTGTTTGCTTAGCAACCTCAAGCCAGCAAAAACTGAGTAATAAAAAGCCCCCAAACAATGCCAGAAGAATAATTCTAATAAAAAGGCTTACTTTCTCCTGGCATTGTGTGCTGAATCATGTCTGGAAGGGGTCAAACAATGCCACAGCTGACACATGAAACAAAACCAAACACATACTTTGACCCATGCAACATACCCTTTCCTGAACCCCAGTCATGGAAATCATTGCTTTTGCTGTAGAACTTCTATAACTTGTTTCAAGAGCAAAGGAAGAACACAATGGCTGCTTTTTTGTACAAGCAAAGCCTTTTCACGGTCTTATGATGCTGATTGAAACAGCCCTAAGAAAATTACCCTAGTATCTGTGTAAAATGAGCCCTCCTGACATACTAGGTTGCCCTTCATCTTCTGCCTTGCTTGCTTTCTCTGTGTCACTTCAAGGCGTGCATGTCCAGCTCTGCTGCATCCTCTGTGCATTAGGCAGTAGTGGCACCTTCCTGATCCTCACTCTAAAGAACTGCCCTCAGACCACAGGCACTCACGTTACGTTGTTCTCATGACAGCCCAGATTGCTGACTGTAGTCTTGCCCAGTGCTCTAACCCATCGCTTTCCTTTTTGAGGCACCACCCTCTCTCATGCTTTCATCTCTTGCTCTTTCCATCTCCAGGCAATCCTGAAAGTCTGGGCTCCCTGGTCTGGTATATTACTCTGCAGCTCTGCTTTCTCGAAAATGTGCAAAACTGCATTTTTTGAGGGTCGGAGGACTGCCTGATTTTCACATTCATGTTGCCTAATTACAGTGGAGGATAGGTACATCAGATCTCCTGCAGCATTTAACAGGATCACACACAAGGCTGGAATACAGAAAACTCGGACCTGTGGTGCCCCCTCCCCCTTAATTATAATTTCATCATCCTGCTGACATACTTGACTCTCTCGGCCTTTTTTTGTTGTTGTTGTTTCTAGTGTCCCACTAGATGGGACATTCTCTGACACACTGAAGACCCGCAGGATTTTTTAAATCACGGTGTGTAATCAATAGTTTTCTTGTAGATATCCCTGATGTTTGGCACTGCTGGTTGGCAGTGATGGAAAAAGAAGGTTAACTTTTTAAATTTAAGTCTCCAGAGGTACTGTATTAAAACTTCCCAGCTGAGTTTGTGCAGTGTAAGAAGTGATTACCTCTCTGGCGCCAGCGTGTTCACCGGCTGTGCTGAGTATTCCTCATTCACTCCAACTTGGAGTAAACCAGGTCATTTCTGGAGAGCAGCGAGCTCTTACAGTGCTGTCAGAAGAGCACCGTCACATCGGACTGTGCACATGGAAAAATTAATGTTGGTGCAGGAGGACAGGTTGCACTGTGCTCTGCATCTCGTCTGCGTGACGGGGAGCTGTCTTGCTGTGTCCCTTTGAACTTCTGAGTCCCGATTCCTGGGGCTGGGAGAAGCTGAGGCATGCTCTGGGGCCGTCAGGTGTGGTGTGATGGATGTCTGGGTTTCCAGTCCCAGGGAGAGGAGAACTAAAGGGGCACAAGGCATTATGCTAAGTCCCTTGCTCCACAGGAGGAAATTGTATGTCTTGTGACCTGCACTTGAAAGCTGGATAGTTCAAGTTATCATAACCTTCAGCTGTGGGGAGGAGATTACCACATCCTCGACTTGGTAAACAACGGAGTTGTTTGAAGGCCAAGGGTTTAGTACAAATAATCATTAAAATACGGGCTGTTTGTTTATTGTTTTTTAAATGTGCAAAATTAAACACTCAGAAGTTAGGAAATGCCAGAGTTAAGCCAGTAATTGCCTCCCAGTCTGTGGCCTGTTCACTGAAGCTGAGAGCCGTGATGATGTGAGCACACAAATATTTGGGGACCCGGTGATGCTGGCAGCCCATCAATGTCTGGCCACATCAGATGCTCTGACCACATGTGGCACAGGCTGAACTCGGCTGAAGCTGGCAGGGCTCAGCAGCACTTTCCTGGAGGCAGTCAGGCCGTTCCCTTCCATTGGGCAGGCAGAAAATGATGCATCCAGGTCAGTGGGCACAACAGGAGAGGCTCAGCCAGCTGACTTGGCTGTAGGCAGGTAGTGTGGGGCACAGCTGCATTTCTGCTTGTCACCATGGCCTCCTCTCCTCTCCTTAGCTTCAGCCCCATCGTCTGGTGAGATGGGCAGCAAACCAACACAAACCCTCCATCGTGCTGTAGCCTTGCTTCACTTCTGAAGCTTTCTGAAGGAAATGATGCATGTTAACCTGCTGCTGGAGATGGCTTGATAAGAACATGGAGAAGGCATTTAATTAAAATTACCGGGGTAGATGCGGTTCTGGCCTGTTACCGCACTGAAGAAGTGTAACACGGCGTACAACAGGTATTTTTCCTGTTCACAGTTCACTGCTCTAACAAGTGCCTTCTGCTCTAGACCCCCGCATTGTTTATTTAACTCTGTCCAGCTTCCTGAGGAAGGGAATCTCATTCCCTGTGAGAACTTGCTGAAAAGTTACTATGCAATGTCCAGCTGCATAGCTTGTCCTTTAGCAACAAATACTTGGAGCCTGGGAGACACACATGTCCCTCTGTGTCCTATTTTTGTTTTAGTTGGGCGCATAAGTTGATATCCAGTTCCTGGAGTGCTTTGAGGACTGCTTAGCAAGCTTACTCTTAGCCTGGTTAATTTGTCCCAAACCCTGAAATGCAGTAAAGGACATCCTTTTCGGCAGATGTGCCTTGTTTCTGGATCTGCAAAAATCCAGAGTTTCTGAGATCTGTGTGTAGTAGTAGTGTGGGATTTTTTAAAGCCATTGTTGCTTGCTGAAAGCAATTTTTTGAGTGTTTTGAGAAGATTCTTTAAAAATACAATATTTTAAATATATAACATTAATTACAAGTGGATTTAGAGAGGCTGTAAAGTCTTTGTAGATGCTGCAAGTGTGAAAGCAGCTGTGAGGTGTCACTGCTCCAGAAGTTTGTTCTTCAGCTGAAGGCTCTTAGGGAGCTTTTAAAGTAATTCTTGCTGTCACTGTGTGTATCTACACTTAGAAAATCACCTGTTAGCTACTTCCTTTCTAAATCACAGCAGTAGAAAAATAGAAAATTTCAGATTCTTTTTGGATTTGTCTTTTACCTTCTGGGTTTATGACTTTTTTCAAACATAAGTCTTAAACCAAAGCTTGAGATTCTCGCAGCCATGTTACTCCAGGGTGTGGGGCTTTAAAGAAGAAAAGTGCATTGAATATTGTAAGATTCATCCACACCCTTTTACATCAGATAAGGAGCCTAGATACTCTCTTTGTGTTCCCTCCTGTTCCTGCTCATGCTAACAGCTGTTTCACTCTACCATTTTGCTTTCCAGGGTAATGACTCTTGGGACTGAGCTATCTCACTGACCATCTGTGGCCCATACAGCAATTTGTAGTGGATAATCCCTCTCACTAAATCCTCTCAGCACGTGCTGCATGTTAGTTTTGGACTTTGTCCTGTTTTGAGCTCACCGTAGGCCCGAGAGCTGCTGTGGCAAGGTGCCATCCTTCCTGCAGCAGGGCAAAAGGTATGGGGCTCTTTGGAGGACTCTTAATTCAGTGCAGTTGGGGTTATGCAAGTGGTCCCAAACCCTGCTTACCATGGGGAATAAGTTAACATCTGTGGGATAACAAGAATATGCAACCAAGTCACAGCACTGCTCATATAAGCCTTTCCATCAGGAACAGGGTTAGAACTTGTGCAATTGTAAAAAAACCCACACAAACACTCAAACAGACACACCGTGTCCCCTATATTTTACATGCTGGTTTGGTTGGTGTTTTCTTAATGGGCAGAATCTACATTCTTAACCTAGCAGCTTTTCTTACTCTGTTTCTCAAGCCATGACAACTTGGCCATCACATAACTACCAGGCTCCAGCTCTGGGACTGGGCTAGCAGAGAGATTTGGGACAAATTTACCTAGCGTGGGCATGACTGTCCTGTGGCAGACTGAAGGTTCACCTTGCACAGCCTCTGGTAGCCCAAACCCCCCAGAATTTAGGGAACTGGGCAAGAGCAATGGTGAGCAGTACTTCTTTGATAACCCTATCCTGCGTGTAGCAAGCTGTGGGTGGGGTATTTCCTGAGCGACACACTGCCCCTGGGTGCTTGCTGGGGGATTATTTTCTTCCCTGAACCAGTTAGTTTAATTTCTGGGTAACTCTGAGCTGCCAGCTGCCACACCACTGCCTGGCTGTTCGAGCATGGTGAGTGCAAGGAACATGCTGCCTGTGCATGCTACTGGGTTCTATGTCAAACCTCCCACTAACCACATCAAGGACTCCCTCTGGTTGTCTCTCTTTGAGGTGAAGAATCTTAGCCAACGTGGGCACTACTTCTGTGTGGGCTCTGCTATACCTCTGGTCCCCTCTATCTTCCCTGTATGTCTGCTAAGGCATTGAACCAGGGCTTATTTCTAGACAGCTCTCCCCTACCTCTTCCCCCTGCTTCCCTATCTCTTTCACTCAGCTTCCCCATTTCCACCAGTTTGTTTTTACGTAGTGCCGCTGTAACTTTAGAAGGGATGAAGAACTGGCTCCACTTCCGCTTTTTGGGGCAAGCCAGTTGCCCAAAAACCTAGAGTGGCTGCAAGCTTGCACAAAATCCTGCGCCCAGTCCGGTGTGGACGTTTGCAGACCAGTTACAAAAGCACCGTGCTTGCATTATGTTAATCCCCTGGCTTTGGCTACGCCAGCCAGGCAGGACCTATCACAGCATGGAGAATGACATCATGTGGAAAAAGGGCTGCTGCGCAGGGCTGCCAGAGGCTGTGCAGCATCCCTCCCCTCTCGCGGGGGACGGCCGCTCCATCTCAACACGGGCGGGCTGTCACTTGGAATAGTTTTAGTGACCCTAAGAAGTTGTAACTTGAGGGAGTGCGGGACAAGGAGATACGTGTAACCCTCCTCCTCTCTGGCAGGCTGCAGTAATGATATAATACCATAAATCTTGCGATTCATTCATTAAGCTCTGTCACCTGGAGATTCGTTTCATCTTAACGCACTCACTGCTTTTTACTTTGCCCCGATTTGCCCTTCACGAATAGCGGCAAGAAATACCGAGAAAGCACAACTGTCGTGACGCCGCATGCAAAGCTCACCCGTGTGCCTGCTTGTGCTCGGCGCAAGGAGCTGCGGAGAAATAAAATGCAAGATGACTAGGATGCTTAGTGAGTGCTTCCAGCTCACTGATGCTGAAATGCCATAAAGCATCCTGCGCTCCGAAATCGGCACATGACTCTCGGCATCGCCATTCCACCCGATCCTTCCCTTACGGACGCAGTTACAATAAACGGCAGCAGCTAAGCACAGACGTCTCCCTGGCATGCCGTCAGGCAGCCTTGCTGGAGGAAATGTTTTTTTCCCCCCTGCAAGCTGCCAAGGTGGACTCCTTAGCTCCTGCGATAGACTGAATGAGACTGCAGTTCCCCCATCAGTTTCATAATACTCAGAAAGCATCCATTTACATCATTGTGTGCAGTGCAGGGCACCAGCTGCCAGGAAATTTGAAACTATTTTGATTCCAGTTGACTAGAACAGCAGCAATTGAATTAGCTGGTATCGCTATAGATAAACTGATGACCTGTGCATTTTATTTCTTTGACCAATGGGTAACTGCTGGAGCTACAGTAACCTCTGTGAGTAAGGAGACTGTTCAAGCAAATATATCTAATTTCTCGAGCTAGCTAATATATATATATATATTGTATAGAGAGAGACACTCACACCATTCTTTTGTAAAATGTACCTGTAACCAAAATGTCTGTCTATGCTTTTAACTTGTGTTTTGCTTCCTAGTATTTCCTTTTATTATGCTGTAGACAAGCTTGCTTGACATGGAATGGTTATTTACCTATGAAATATCATATCTATGCCTGATTTAAGTCATTAATGCTTTCAACGTCTAGTCTTCAGAAAGGCTGCCAAGTGCTGTTACGTTATATTTGCCCCGTCTCAGTTGGCTAGTCACTCACCCCCTCTCTATTTTACCTTTTTCTCTATCCATTTCTTTCTTTTTTTCCTTCTTTTTTTTTTCTTTGTTGAAAGAAGCCAGTAGATGCAAAGTAGAAATTGGTGTTACCTGAAAGTGTGTGTCCTTTCTTTGTTTGTTTGGTGATGGGTATTTTTTTTCCCTGCGCATCTTCAGTGCAGTCCTTAAATTTTGTTGTTGTCTTTCTAGCCTTGTTTGTAATGCAGTCATATTGGGGGATGGGTTGGACAGGATATGCCAGTAGCTGCAGCAAGACATGATGCTGTGGTGGTGGATGGGAATAAGGGAGGAGTTTCCCTTAAAGAGCTCAAGCTCGTCTAAGCTCTGGTACCTGAAATAGCTCTCTGAGCAAAGGGAAAGGCTTTGCAGTTTTAAGAGTAGGGGGCGATTGGTCGTGATTTACCTCAAAGAGTGAAGGCCTTGGTAGTCATGTGCATGGTGGTATCTAACATAATGGGGACAGAATGCTGCTTTGGTGCCATATATGAATTTTTTTTTAATCAGACAGAAAATTAGGCAATATTCCGGCAGTATGCCATGAAGGTAAGAATCCCACTGACTTGTGCTCGCACAGAGCAGCAGTAGCAGTCCTTCCAGAGCAGGGATGCTGACATCTCACTTAATTTCTACTGTGAAAGTTCTGCTCTCTTGCCCAAATGGAGCACAGTTTGCAGGCGTGGCAGACAGGAGTACCCATGGGCACACTCCCTGCTCCTGCCCATCTCTCCATGCCCACGTGTGTGTGTATGTGCTGTGTATGTGTGCCTCTTCTGGAGTCTGCCAGAGGGTAAAGTTTGTTTGGGATGAAGTTCAGGAGGAGAAGTAAATCAGAAACTTGCTCAAGATTGCTTACCGCCGTCAGCAGGGGCTGTCAGCGGCAGATGGGGACGCGCAGCAGCGCACTCAGCATTCACCTCCAGAAATAAGGCTGCTTCTGTTTCCCTCGTGTCGGTTCAGAAGCTAAGACAGCAATTAGCAGAGAAGAGCCTGGCCCCTTGGCAGGGTCTGTGTGTGGTGCCTTGTTAGGGCTTGGCCTCTGGAGCACATTGGCTGCCTCCCAGCCCCACAGGAGGCTGGGGACCGACGCTCTGGGCTTCCTTCCAACAAGGCGGGGTGTGTGGGTTGGAGTGAGGCACGGGGCATCCCAGCTCCTGGGGCTCTATGCATTACCTTTTTTTTGGGCAATGCAGCCAAAGAGTGGCCTGGCCTAGCACTGTGCCACAGTGCTGTGGGCATGAAGGGAGCCCAGTTGGGGTACCTCCTGCTTGTAGGTCTTGCACACTGAGAGTCGCTCTAGGTGGATATGTCCATGAAGAAGGGTTTACGTTAGCATCTGTAGTGACAGGCTCCTGTCAGCATTCTCTCCTAAAAAATCCCATCTCTAGACATCAGACACATCTCTAGTGCTGAGAGAGCATCAAGCACTAAGGTTGCTGCATTAGAGCAGTCCAGGGTTGTGAGATGGGGAAGTGGGGCCTTTTGCTGGCTTGGGGTTGGCCTGATGCAGGTGTAGGAATGTTGCAACCACGAAGCATTAATCTCACATGTGAGTCCTGGTGGAAGTGTCCCCCAGTGGCAACCTAGTGTCTGTGCCATGAAAAGTGTGGGCTTGGGATGCACCAAGCACTGCGTGGCTGAGTTGTGTGCAAGGGGAGCTGTTTAGTGTTTTGGGCAGTTGGAAAAAGTTTCCTGGGTGCACCCACATCTGTGTGTTGGAAACCCTGCCATCAGGGCAGTCTGGTGATGCAACTGTGGGCATCCTTGCTCCTTACAGCTCCCTGGGACCTTGCAGGAGAAAAAAGGTCCCTGCTTTGTCCGCTCACTTGTCCTCAACAACCAGGTGATCTGGGTGAAACCTGACCCACTGAATTTTTATTATATAGTTTTTAAAGACATGGAGATGAGATCTGGAGAACCTACTGGGGAAGAGATTTGGCTTGGCACAGTCCAAGTCTGTCACTTTGATCCTGCACCACGCACAGTGTGTGGTAATTACCCTGTGGCTAGATATACTGGATAGTGAGCTGGCAGGTGTGAGCTTCTGCTTGTCTTTACAAACCACTGGCACATAGGTAGCCACATTAATGCAGTGCTGAGCTTGCATTAAATTATCCTCTCTTTCACCTTGAATTTAGCCTATCATTAACCACAGCTACATGGCTTTTGCCTCAGCCTGTGGCCAGCCTGCCTGGAGTGGAGATGGTGATCAGTTTGCAGTACAGTACCTAGAGATGCAACTTGAGTGGAAGCAAAGCATCCAAATGCATGTTGGTGTCCAGTTTCAGAGCTGTCACCCTGACATTTTTCAGAGTAGGTGTTTGGGTCTGGCCACTGTGCTGTTTGATTTAAGGCACTTTTATACTCCAGGCCAGTTTTTTTTCCCAGATGGATGCAACAAATGCAGCAGTTTCTGGTTGGATTTTTTTTGTTGGTTTGTTTTGTTTTGCTTTTTTCCCCAAGAGCTCAGTTTCTCCTTGGGCCATGACATAAGGTGGCCAAGTATCTGTCATTGTGCGATCCCTGAGGTCCTTCTGAGGACAGATGGTTCTCTGTTACCCACAACAATGGGAGCCACTGGGTGCTTGGCACTTTGAAAATGGGACCATCCATTTTTGCTCCTGCTTTGTTTACATCAGTTGAAAAAGCAGCATGAGGAAGGGAGGGGTGGTAAGCTTTCTGTGCAGCAGTGTATTTGCTGCAACAGCAAATGGGAACTGCTTGGTGTGCATCCACCACTGCAAAATGACCTTCAGCTACCTGAGTTGTTAAAGGAAGTGCTGGCATAAAGTTGAATTGCTCATTAATTGCGTTGTAATTTAGCTAATTGGTTTTGTCAAGGCTGTGGAACATGCGGAGTGTGGCTGATTATCTTCCCAGTGTTTCACCTTTAAAAGTGAAAATAACCTAAAAAACTTCTTTTTTAAGTAAAACCATCATGTGTGTTGCATTCTTTGGATGGATGTCAGACCTCTGAATATCTGCTTTCTTCAGCCTGTGCGCCTGGCCTGTGGCCTCAGACTGTTCCTGGGCCACAGGGACCCTTTCTGAAGTGTAGCAGACATTTCTAGCATTCCTTCCTCTGTAGTGCACACTCCCAAAGTAGGGCTGCCCAAAAACTCCTATGTAAAAAGACCAGCTCTGGATAACTGCAGTTGTGAGAGTGTTCAGAAGTGAATTAAACCGAACGGTATTTTCCCTGCTGGGCAGAGTGTAGTTACTCTTTTAGGAGAGGGCTGGGAAGGGAGGTCAGGCTTCTTTTACTTTGTGCATGTGGAAGATAAATCCAGGGTCTCTCTTTTTTTTTTTTTTTTTCTTTGCAGGTAGTGGCCGTGGAAGCAGCGCTTTGCTTCCTCATACCATCATCAATGAATTTCCAGAGTACGGCACTGTGGAGGCAAGCAGACACGAGCCAACAGCTTCACCGACACGCCACGCAGAGCCTGTGACACGCCGTCCAGAAAGACGGGACAGTCACCACCACGTCAGGCCCATTCCTCAGTGTGCAGCTCCTGCAGATAATTCGAGACCTGATGCTGGGGCAGCGCAGCTGCACGCCCCAGAAGAAGGTGTGCAACCTGCGGGTAACCTGCCAGAGATTATGAAAATCTCTCGACGGTTAGAAGCAGCAAAGGTGCAAGAGAGAGCAAATACTTCTCTCGATTCAGAGACGCAAATGGAAAAAAAGAGTGTTACTGGCAGCCAAAATGTGCAGGCAGCCAGAGAACCAGTTCCAGGAGGCCAAGAAAAACTCTCAGACGTGCCTCTTCCTTCTGAACGAACAGCTGAGGAAAAAAAGCATTTGGTCGTAGAGGAAGGTCTGGCTGCAATATGGACTGGAGAGAAGCAGTCCGAGTCTTTGCAAGCCATTAGTAATAAGGCTGACGAGGTCCATGCAGTTCAGGAACAAAGCTGTCACAGACCATCTGTGACTAACCGGGAAGCAGCCAGGAGAGTGGAGGGGTGGGCATGTTCTGAGGAGTTTTCAGGGTACAGTCAAGGTAAAATGCAAATGGGTCCTGAGAGGAGGCTCGCTAAAGAGGCAGCTGTGAGTAAACATGTAGAATTTCAAGGGGTGGAGATTTTATGGCTGCAGAAAGCTGAGGAGCAGAGAAGAAAGAAGCACTCACTGGTGGACTCTTCGTCTGTGGAGAGGAAGGCATTCCCCAAAACATCCAGCCACCCTGCATCACCAATGGTCTCTCCAGGCCTGCTTTCCTCTCCAGACAGCGCGTGGAGTGAGGTCTGTGAGGACCCAAGGGGTCCCGCTGCATCTGGAGCCACTCCTCTAGCACCACCCAATGAAAGTGAGAAGGATGAAGTTTCCTTGAAGGACAGGAAGAACCGTGGTGAGGAGGAGGCGTCTGTGCTAGTGAGAGGCCAGGGCAGGTGAGACCGTGCTTGGAGGGGTGCAGGGGTCGGGTGGTATTAGCTTTTTAGGAGCTAATGAGAAACAACAAATGTTTGTCTGCTGCTTTCAGTGTGGTGTCTGTGGTAGTGATTCCTGTCTGGTGGTGGCTAGTGCATGAAGTTTGGACTGAATCCCCTACACACCACTTTGCTGAAGTTTGAAGTCCATCTCAGGGTTTGAAACACAAACACGTCTTGCTATTTGCACAGTGATGTCTGTGTGAGGAGGCATCTGTAGCAGGTGTAGTTGGGATCCAGACATGGCATGTAATTAAATAAGGCAGCATGCAGGCCTGCCCATATGTGCCTGGCCAGATTTTCTGATTTCAGGCAGAGTTTGAGCAAGAACAGTGTGAGCACTTTGGAGAGGTTAGATAGTAAAGACATTTTATCCAGGGCCTTGTAGATTATAAGAGAGTAAATGCTGTGATGTGCTTTCCATATCTATCTATCGATCTATTTATCTATCTATTTATCTATCTATCTATCTTTATAGAATTTTAGTTATACATACTGCAAGAAGTGTGCTCTGCTTTTTATGAGAGCATCCTGATTTGCTTGCTTTTCTTTCCCGATGCACATCTTTGACAAAGTTGGTGTGCTCTGAGCAAACCAGGCCCGCTCTGACCTGTTGAGCTGTTTGCTGATGAGACAACAGGATCTCAGCAAGGGAGGCTCTCCTGACTCTGCACTGTGGGATATGTGGAGTTTGAGTTTTGCTTTGGCTAGCAGATGGGATTACTCATGCTGGCAGCCCTAACCTCTGGCATGTGCTGTGAGGAGCCCCACTGTATTTGGTGTGGCAGAGAAGAAACCTCTCTGCAGGGGGATGCTGCACCTTCCCCTGTAAATCAGCAAGCAGGCTGAGTCTTCTCCCTTCAAATCTGGTTCTCCTGGCTCCATGTGTTTAATTGCACTTGCTTCCCTTTGCATTTTGGAGTGATTTCCTTCAGCTTTTTGCTGAAGACCCCAGTCCTAGGAGCTAGCAAACTATACTTTGGGGCAGAGGCTCTGTCTGAGTACACATCTCCAAGATGTGCAGCCTCTGGCATGGCACTGGTGTTAGGACATACCTTATGTGTATGTGAATGCATTTTCTCCTTTGCACATAAGCAGCTGATTTCTCTGTTAGACAATATCTCTGTCCCCCAGCCAGAAGATTGTTTCTTTTACCCAGAAGATTGTTTCTTTTTATGTCCCCAGAGAGGGAGATGGTGCCAATCATAAACAGAGGTGGTGCAAGGAGAAACTAGCATTTTACCTGCAGTGCCCTCTCCTGCACAAAGCCGCGCTGACCTTTCTGCTCACAAAGGCGGAAGGCGAGAAGGTTCAACCAGAAGCCTAAACCTTGCCCCCTAGCTGAAACAAGCTGTTTCTGGTTAATTTTCAGGATGATGGAGGAGGGCGAAGCAGCCGCAGGAGGATATGAAGATTTCCTTGGGCAGAGGCACTCCGACGTCTCCACTGATCTGTACAGCTCGCAGTTCGAAAACATCCTAGACAATGCATCTTTATACTACAGCGCAGAGTCGCTGGAGACGTTGTACTCGGAGCCCGACAGCTACTTCAGCTTTGAGATGCCACTCACTCCCATGATCCAGCAGCGCATGAAGGAGGGCGGACAGTTTTTAGATCGGACATCAGCCTTGGGGCAGCCAGATGTCCCTGACAGGGAGGTGAAGGGATGTGGTGAAGGCATCGCCAATGGCTTAAGGGATACAAGCAAAACACTCTTCAAAGGAGATGTCACAGAAGTCCCTCATCTGGAAAGGTAAAAGCAGTGGGTGAGCTTTTTGTGTGCCTGCTGATTTTTCCCCAGTCTCTGTTTACTTCAGTGTACTGTCGCAGAGTGTAGGTTTTTTTTTTCATTACTGCAAATTTTCTACAGAGAATAATTTCCAGTGTGACAGAGTGAGCTGCAGGAGAGAAGTGAGCCATCCAAACCTGCCATTTATTAGAAAAGTGCAAATTTATTATATGAAGGTTTATTGGTGATACTTGTGTTGATAAAAGTCTGCCTGGTATTGTCAAATCTCTGGATCCTGTCCCTGGAGGAGTTAGTTACTGGTTAGAGATGAACCTTGTTCAGCTCCAGTTCCTACCTGAATTTATCAGCAGCAATTTTAGGAGCAGTAACACTCTATGCATGCAGATGAATTGTCCAAATGCAGTTTGTGATTTGGATGTTAAAGGTGTGGCTCTGGGCATAGGTTTTCCTGTCTTGAGGTCAGTGGGAGTTCTGAGCGTTACTTCAGCTGGGATGAGGTTTTGCTCCCACCACATTCACAGGACTAGAGATTGTTAGCTGTGGCTGTGATTTGTGCAGTAGTTACTTATTGAGAGAGGAGGCAGTGTTGCAAAAATGTTAATAATTTCCGTTTAGGTAAAGGGAGAGATAAGAAAACCTATTAAGAGAAAGAGTCACGTGAGAAGCAAAAAGTAGGCTGAAAATACTGTACAATTGTACAAACTCACTCTGAGCCAAGTTTACTCGTGTGCTGTCAGAGAGGGTGGGGAGAGCGAAAGGCAGCCACAGACAAAGTGGGAGGTTGTGTCAAAAGCAATAATCTGCAGAGTGATGAGGGTGCCACTCATCTGCAAAGGGATGAGGGACCTTGTGAGTAACAAAAATGCCTCTGGTCTCCATCTTCCAGGGAAGGGATGTTATCTAAGAGGCCTTAGACTACTCCCTTAGATGAAATTAATCTAATTTGAGCTTTCCTGGGAGTCAGCAGTGGTAGATCTTTTATCTGTTTTATTACTTTTGTGCTAGCATGAAAGAAGTCCTTTGAGCAGAAGTAGTTTTGTTAACTTTATGGATTAAGGTATAGTTTGCTCTTAAACCAACAGGCAGAAGGACTTTGAAGTTTAAAATATTTTTGCATCAATCCTACAGTAAAAAAGGTGCTTAAATCTTGTGCATGCATGGTGACAATAGGCAATAAGTGACTGCTAACCTGCAATAACCTCTGTGAAGCCAGAAGCTGAGGTCAGTCTTGGCACTTGCAGCTCTTTACTTATACCAGAACCAGAGACATAAAACTGGGCAGTGGAGGACAAGTAGTGCATACAGACCCTGATTTTGTTACCCCATTGTTGCAGCATCTAACATCTAGAAGATATTTTCAAGTAAGACTCTCATTGGCTCATCAAGACAAAAGTTACCACAAAGACAAGGTGTACTTAGGTGAGTCACATTAGGTGCCTGGCTAATGTTGATTTCACTAAGAATTAATTTTAGTTTAAATTTGCAGCCATACTGATAAACCAACAGAGGGGTTTTAAATTCTTTTTTTCCTCCCCTTAACAAAACAAAACAAAACCAAACCAAAAAAAACAAAAACAAAGAAGAAAGAAGTGTCCCCAGCAGCGGGTTTGTTAGGAAGCTGCGCTGATGTAGTCTGCAGGCTCAGTTAGGGACAAGGCTCGAAGGCTCACTTAAGGTAGGTGCCAATAGAGAAAGCAGCAGTATGGCCAGTCATGGAGGTGGCCAACAGAGTAATCTTCCCAGCAATAGCCTGATAGCCAACACGACCCCTCCCTGCCCGGTGTTCTGAGTATCACGTTGTGTCGCACCAGATGTGCATGTTGTGTTGTGCAGGTGACTGACAGGTCGCGTGTGCTATTTTGTTGGAACCAGCGAGGAATCGCGGCGTTACGGTTCGTGAGTGAGAAGCGCTGCGTGCATGCTGGGGGGTGGCGCGGGGTTTATTCGCCGAGGCGTCAAGACGGTGTGTCGTGGTGATGCCCAGGCGAACCATGAACAGCCTCTGGGAGCCGTGTCTGCTCAGGGAGTTTGCGGGCGCGGTTGCGTTGCCTGAAGCAATCCGAGACTCGTTTTAAGTCCACGTGTGTGATACGTGTATGGCAGGCTCTGCGGCACCTCTGCCTCCCGCCGAAGTTCTCCTTTCCGGCGGTGCCTTGAGCCTGCGGTTGTGCCTGGGGCTGCAGTTCCTCACGCGTAGCGACTGCCTGGCGCTGCGGAGCAACGGGGGGACACCCACCGCAGTGGTCCAGCCCTCCCGGAGGAGGAGGGGGAGGCGGGGGAGGTGGGAGAGGCAAGCCCTCCGTCCCGCCGTGCCTGGCCCTGCGCTCCCTGCGCGCTGCCCGACCGAGGGCTCCCCTCGAGCTCTCCCCGGCTCCGGAGGGCGGTGCCGGCGGGAGAGCGGCGGGAGGAGCCCCTCCCATAGGGGTGGGGTCTCAGCATGTGGATACTGGCAAGTGCAAAGCGAAGGGGGGGGAATTGTGTTGTGAGATGGGGGGTAAGGGGGTGGGTGGTGGGGTTTCGGAGCGAAGCAAGGCAGTGTGGCAGTGCGGGACGGCAAGGAGCATGACAGCCCATCTTTTCCAGAAACGGCGCTGCCAACCCGAGCGAGCAAAAACCGAAACCAAAAACCTCAGCAGTGCCCTGTGCCGTGGTGTTTCGGTGACATGAAAAGTGCGTGGGGAGGGAGCACACTTCCCAGTGCCAGCGCTGGTTTGTGGGGGAACAGTGTGAAACACATGCAGCTCTTTCCCGGCCCAGTGCAGAAGGGGACGGCGGATGTGAGAGCAAAGAGCTGGTGCTTTTACACCTGGAAAACTGAAAGCCGTGTGCCATTTAGGAGAGCCTGGGCTCCCCGTGGCCATGCCCTCTTCGTAGCGGGTAGCTGAGCACCACGGCCCCTTTTGCACCTGTCCGGAGGGATCCAGTGCGGAGCTGACACGCGGACCCTGGGCGGAGTGAGGTTTTGATGCGTTAAGGGCAAGGAAACCTGGTCTTGTAATGAATAAGCGGGAGGGTAACATCCTTCTCGGCTCTTAGGAAATCGCAGGCTTTGGGAGGGGTCAGCTCTGGTATGTGAAGGCCGGTCACATGCCTTCAGAACTGAAAAAAAAAAAAAAGGAGGAAAAAAAGATATTAGAGGCTTGCGGGCTGCAAGTTCCTATGGCTCCTGGGTGTCTGGAGGTTTCATCCCTGCTGTCCTCCCTGTCAGCTGCTGGCCGTGGTTAAACGCAGTAAGTCCTGGCGAGAGCTGTACGACGGACCTGCCGGCTCTGACAGCCACTCGCCGCGCTTCCTTAGGGCAGGGGGATGTCAGCTGGCCCCCACGTCTTCCTGAATGGCGAGCTGGCTTGCTTTTGCAAGTAATTCTTTCCTAGCACAGCTTAGGTGCCCTTTCTGCCTGGCCAGTGGAGGAGGGATGGTTGGGGGAGAAGGATGTGCAGCTTGCCTTCCTCTGGGAGTTGTCCCAGCTCTTCGTGTCTTTGGGGGGGGGCTTAATCTCTTTCCTAGGTAGGTAATGATCATTCCTCTGGGGGAAAAGCCCCAAATCTCTGCAGTTTGAAGTAGTCTTAAATTTCCCCAGGAGGAGGTGGGAGGACTGGGGGAGGAGGGGTAGTGTGTGAGGTTTCAGAGCAAAGGGACAGCCTTGCTGTGTGTCAGGGCACCACGGGATCCTCATGAAGTGTGCTGAGCCACAGGTTGCCAGTGTAATGAAGCTTTGTAGTGGCAATAAAGACATTGCATTTGGGCTGTGCTTGGTGCCCTTGTCTCTGTGTTGTCCTTGCAGAGGCATGCAGTCCCCACTGTCGCACCCGTACCCCAGGTGCTGCACGCCTCCCTTCTCCAGCCGGAGGGCTGTGTTAAGAACAGAGCAAGGCTCAGCCATCCTATACGGGGAGCTTGTTCTTACTCTCAGAGGCAATAAGGGAAACTGTTTGTAAGGTGCTACACAGACATTGAGCCCGAGTTTGCATTGCCTGGACAAGGTGTAACCATTTACACCAAGTCAGAGTGGGATGAAAGGAATGTATTTCCAAAGTGGTAAGATACACTGGAGGGAAAGTGAGTTATCTTTTCTATGTATAGAGCATCAGTGTGACTAGAAGTGAAGTATGAAATTCTCTTTGTGATGATCTCCATCCTTATACTTTCAGACTTTAAAGACAGAATTTCTTCTAGTTGTTCCTTTTACTTCACTCTTTAGAGCAGGCTTTCCATTCCCTCTCCCCTTGTATGATAGAGTCAGAATAAGAAATTAAAAATAAAAAAAAAGAACACCAAACCAAAAAATCTTAAGGCATTTCTTTTCCTGAGTTGGGAAGGTGTGGTCTCTTTTGGTGGGACATTGCCCAAGATTTTTCTGAATCCAGAGAGAAAATAAAAAAAATCTGTATTGCAGCTCCTAATCCTCAAAAATGCTAAATATTTTCCACCTGCCATCATCTTCAAAGAACTGCTGGTGCTCAGCAATTTCTGCAAGTCCTGTTATTTTTTTTCCCCTAGAGTTGCAAACACAAATTTAGTCACATATATATTCAAGAGGGGAAGAAAACAAACTCCCTAAAGCAATCTGGTGATTCTCAGAATAAAAGTACAAGAACATAGACTGCAATTCCCAAGGGTGCCAGGTTACTTTTAATTGTTGGGGCCTCTTATAGGAGTTCTTGTGATGGTTTTATTTCTTCTGCATATGGATCATTTCCAGCAGTTTCTTAGTTGGCACTCTGCCCATTCCTTCTTTAAGACAATAAACTTTGTTGACAAATAAACCCAGTTTTGATTCCTTTCTCCAGGTTGATTCTCTTAAGTTTCCTCCCAGTTTATCAGTATCCTGCATGCCATTTATAATTCTGATTTTCAGTTTGTACACTGGTATTTTTGTCCAAGGTAGCTTGTATTTGATTTTTCAGTGTAGATAGGAGACTCAACACATAGATATCCAACATGTAATCTTCATACATTCATTTTGTTGGTCTATTCAACAGCAGTCTGGTAGAGCTTTTTTC